CTTTGACAGAAAATGGCCAATTCACAGAATTTTCCTCTTTTCTTTCGGACAACACCACCACAACAGCCACACCCACTAATTTCCTACCTAATTTCCTACATAAACCATTAACTAAACCCATTTTCAAGTTGCCAAAATTCATCCCCCACCTCCGGCAGATTGTTTTTGGATAACCCAAACACCCATACAACCAATTAATTCACAAAGCAGCCATTAATCAACAAGTTTTCAGAGATTAAAGGAGCTAACCTACCAAAAACCTTAGCAAGCAAGGTTGGAGCTGGCGGTATGGGGAAGAGCCGACGGGAAAATTGGGGAACTTCCACGGGCCACTAGCAATTGAAAAAAAACAACAAGATTAGAGTGACCCAACATAACTCAAGGCTGAAAAGAGGAGTTTCTGGCTAATTTTACCAGGAAAAAACCAAACTCACACCCAGCTGTGGCCGGCGGCAGGGAAGGAAGAAGACAGCAGATCTAGGATTTCTGGGTTGAGAGAGAGAGTTCTAGGCTTGAGACTTGGTTCTTGAGCAAGAAAGGAGGGAAATTCAAGAGGCCTTCACCATTTCTCAAGAGGAGGGAAATCGGTGGCTGGGAGGGAGGCTTTCGGGAGAAGAAGAATCGAGAAGAAAAATAGAGCAGACCGCGTGATGCACTAAAATCACTCTAGCAAGTGTACTAGTCGCCCCAAGTAATATAATGATGAGAAGAGTGTCAAACCCATGAGGATTGTGTCTAACTAAGTACCAAAATAATTAATCCAAATTTATTTGAACAACCAATTGGGAAGAAACTTTAATAAAAAGAAAATAACAAATAAATCTAACCAAGATAGGAGGCACTAAAGCATTGATTTCACCATAATCAATCAATATAAATTCTGGATTAATATACTTTCAAAACCAATTTATTGAGTGTTATTGCATGTGATGGCGGATTTCCTTAAATTAATTAACTAGCTTTCTCAAGTCAAGTTAATCCTTCACTAGTTTGTTAAATTAATCATATTTCTATGTAATTTTAAACAAATTAATGAGTATTAGATTCTATGGAAACCTCTAGCTTAAAAAGGGGGAGCTACTAACTCTCTTCTCTTCCTCCACTACCACATGTGAGCTAATTACCTCTCGGTCTCATAGTTTAGCACACGGTTTATATTATTATTGGTCTAATCTACGTAATTCTTTCTCAAGTTCATGCATAAATCACTAAATCAATTGAAAGATGATCAGGCTTCCAATGCATTAAGTTCAATAATATAAACTCCTCATGCGAATAACTTTAATTGAAAATATAAAATCACAAAATCTATATTGAATTGATTAGACTACATCATAGCCTTAATAAAATAAATCAGTTCATAATAAAAAGAATAAAATCTAAAATCACAATTATGAGCATAAGAATGTCTAAGGAAAAACAAAACCTAATTTGAGGTAATTGAAATCCTTCATCTTCTTGTTGATGGATCTTTTATCTTGACCTCCAAGAGTGCACAAAAGAGGGCTGCCACCAGCCTCCCAAAACTCTCTTAATTCTGAATTTGGATGGGTATTTATAGGATTTTAGAGACCCTAATTGAAATAGAAGTAGTACTTTGAATAAAAATAGGAAACTGAATTTTAGATGCTGATCGCATGGTGCTGATACTTTGGATTACGTGTTGACACGAACTAGGAAATAGAGTCTGGATGTTTAATGCATGGTGTCGACACCCCGATCATGTGTCGACACTACACCCGTGTCGGGTTTCTGGTCTCCTTTTGCAATTTCTTCCATGGTAAAATAGCAGATTTAGTTCCTGACTTCTGGATTCTGCACAAGTTGATCCTCAAGTCTTTGATATCTTCAATTTACTTTTAAAAAGTAGGATTTCTTCCAATTAAATCTTTTCCTACACAAAGAATGAAAACCATGTAAAATCAAACAAAATCCCATAAAACTAATCCAAATATCAATAATATCAATAATATCAAAGTAAAAATTCCCTATTAATATGTATATAAATTTAGCTCATCACCGCGTGCAATGAAGAAGAAAAGAAAAATATCTAAGCTTGATCATTATCCTAATTGGTTTTCTTTTTAGCCCCTTGACTTTTGAAAATTGATGATTAAGTTTAAAAACATTATTTTCTCACAATTAGGTCATCAAATTCCCCTAAACTTAAGTTTTACTCGTTTTCAAGTAAAATAAAAAGACAAAAGAAACAAAAATAAAATCTAACTCACTTTCGTAGAAATCACGATTGCACTTAGCATGTGCAACAAGCCTTTAAACCCCTAGGTCACCTTAGTGGATGAGTTGTGTCTCGTTAGGGTTTACAGCAGATCTACCCACAAAATCCCAATGCAAAAATGCAAGTATATGATATGTATGCAAAGAAAATTTAGGAATTAAAGGTCAATTAGAAGCAAAGTCTCAAATATTCAAAAGTTCTCATATGCTCACTTAAAGTAAAATACTCCATCTTATTCTTCACACCACTTGTTAAAAGATTTAGCCCATGAGCACTTAGTGTGTGTGTGGAAATTCATAGTAAGAAGTTTTAAGTTTAGACCTTCACACCTTAGCACTTATTTCTATCCCTTTTTTTTTTTCTACTCAATTTTTTTTCATAGGTCGAGTTTCCTTAGGCTTTCTAAGTTACCCATGTAACGAGCTTTTTTTCAATGACTCCCAAACCAATTGGCTTTAGGGCATTAGGTGAAAAGACACCCCTAAGAACATACTTACTCAAGTAACAAAGGCCACGAAACATTCGACTTCTCTTTTTTTCTTTTCTTTTTTTCAGCCATACAACACATTCTTCCCTAAGTTATCACTTGTCTTTTGACGCGAATACTAACATTTGTGATGAAAGCACCCGGTTACTCAACAAATCATAAACTCAAAGTGCTTTGTAAACTCATACTTCAAGTCGCCGTTTGACGTGAAAATTGGCATGGGTTTCATGCCTAACCCCCAGTTACTAAGCAACTAGAAACATTGGAGTAGAAATTAATAAACTTTTTTGTGTGTTGGCTTTTTTTCTTTTTCTTTTTTTTGTTTTTTTTTTTTAGATGCTATTAAGTCTTCTCTCTAAACTTCTCACTACAAACTTGTGCTTAAATAGAATATAATACTCATGAACTTAAACTTCATCACAATGGTGTTATTTTTCAGATTTGTATCTCCTCTAAGATTAAAAGATTTTAAAAGCTCTAACTTAAGAATATTCAATTCCTTGACACTAATTGGACCAATTCCTAAAAAAAAAAAAAAAATCCCTAATTTCTAAAAAAAATGTATATCATGCAAATATGAATGCAACTAATGTAAGAATGGATGCCTAAAAGTTATTCTCTCCCCCAAACTTAAATCAAACATTGTCCTCAATGTAAAATAAAAGTAAGAGAAAAGAGAAACTTCCCAGGTTTTGCACTTGAAGACTTAAAATTGAAGTTTTGAAGTTGAGTTGTCTTCATTTAGAGGAGACTTCTAGCATATGAATTTCCATAATCTTGTCCCCCAAACTTGTTCAATGACCTGGCCAAAATCAAAGAACAACAATTTATGCATTAACCTAGGCCATAAAGAGAAAAAGAAAGAAATTAAAAAAAAAAATCTGAACTATAAACGAAAAATAAAAGAAAAGAAAATTTTATGCTTGGGTTGTCTCCCAAGAAGCGCTGAATTTATAATCATTAGCCAGACTTTCTACCACTTCAAGGTGGTTTTGGATCAAGTCGTAGGGCATGTCCTCTCGTTTTCTTAAATCTTGGCTTTCTTGCCCTTAAGTTGAATCCACCATAAGATTTTCTCCAATGACTATTTTGAGGGGGTTTAGGTTTAGGCCAGCAGATGTGCCTTCCCAATTCTTCTAGGAGTGCCCCCTTTGATTCCAAGGAAGATGATGTATTCAAGCAATTTATGTATGCTTTGATTGGGTCTTTTGCTTGAATAAAGTAAATCTCAAATGGATCCTCATAAGTGTTTTTCTGCAAAATCTCATCAACCATATCAATAACAAAATAATCATTAAAATCAGATTTGGTTAAAGGAGACTCCCCATTGAACACTTCAAATGATACTTGAGCTTTTTCCTCTTCCTCCTTAGGGACATCCTCTTGTTTAGTTTCTGCAGGCATAATTTCTACTTCTCCAAGTTGTCCTTCAATCTCCAAGAGTAAAGTGTTTACTTCTTCGTCTTGATTTTTCATTGTTGCACTAGGTAACTCACCTTGTATCTCTTCAGCAACTAAGTTGTGCAAACGACTTGATTGAACCTCTAGATTTTTATTCAAACATGTCTCCTCTTCTAGAACTTGAAACCCTGATTGTGGCTCCAATATATCTTCATTATTCCATGAGGTGTTTGGATCAAAATGGCATGTATTGGGATAAGAATTGTACTGCTGACTATAAAACTCACAAGAAAAATCAACACACTTGTTATATCGTTTAAATAAGCAATCAGAACTAAAATGGTCTAATCCACACCATTCACAAGTGATATTTGATCGTTCTATTCGAGCCTTTCTTAATTTGATCCTTTCAATGGCTGCTTGAATTCGTTCAAGTTCATCATTGTCAAGTTTTGCATCCCAATTGATAGTTATTGCTTCAACTTGTGCCCTTATCGCTGGCGCAAGCCAATGATAACTCACATAAGTACCTATGGCAACTCGATTCATAGTTAGACCTGCAAAAACAAAAACAAAGAACACAGAAAAAAATCAAAGTAAAGAAATAAAAGAAAAGAAAAAGTTCAAATTAAATCTAGAATTAACCAACTTCGATATTAATTAAATCAACAATCCCCAGCAACGGCGCCAAAAACTTGATGCACTAAAATCACCATAGCAAGTGTACTAGTCGCTCCAAGTAATATAATGATGAAAAGAGTGTCGAACCCACGAGGATTGTGTCTAACTAAGTACCAAATTAATTAATCCAAATTTATTTGAACAACCAAATGGGAAGAAAGTTTAACTAAAAAAATAATAAAAGGAAAATAACAATTAAATTAAACCTAACCAAGATATGAGATACTAAGGCATTGACTTCACCATAATCAATCAATATAAATTCTGGATTACTAAATTGTTGAGTGTTATTGCATGTGATGGCGGATTTCCCTAAATTAATTAATTAGCTTTCTGAAGTCAGGTTAATCCTTCACTGATTTGTTAAATTAATCATATCTTTATGTAATTTTAAACAAACTAATGAGCATTAGATTCTATGGAAACCTCTAACTTAAAAAGGGGGAGTTACTAACTCTCTTCTCTTCCTCCACTACCACATGTGAGCTAATTACCTCTCAGTCTCATAGTCTAGCACACGGTTTATATTATTATTGGTCTAATCTACGCAATTCTTTCTCAAGTTCATGCATAAATCACTAAATCAATTGAAAGATGATCAGGCTTCCAATGCATTAAGTTCAATAATATAAACTCCTCATGCGAATAACTTTAATTGAAAATATAAAATCACAAAATCTATATTGAATTGATTAGGATACATCATAACCTTAATAAAATAAATTAGTTCATAATAAAAAGAATAAAATCTAAAATCACAATTATAAGCATAAGAATGTCTAAGGAAAAACAAAACCTAATTTGAGGTAATTGAAATCATTCATCTTCTTGTTGATGGATCTTCTATCTTGACCTCCAAGAGTACCCAAAAGAGGGTTGCCACCAGCCTCCCAAAGCTCTCTTAATTCTGAATTTAGATAGGTATTTATAGGATTTTAGAAACCCTAATTGAAATAGAAGTAGTACTTGGAATAGAAATAGGAAACTGAATTTTAGATGCTGATCGCGTGGTGCTGACACTTTGGATTACGTGTTGACACGAACTAGGAAACAGAATCTAGATGTTTAACGCATGGTGTCGACACCCCGATCATATGTCGACACTACACCATGTCGGGTTTCTGGTCTCCTTTTGCAATTTCTTCAATGGTAAAATAGTAGATTTGGTTCTTGACTTCTGGATTTTGCACAAGTTGATCCTCAAGTCTTTGATATCTTCAATTTACTTTTAAAAAGTAGGATTTTTTCCAATTAAATCCTTTTCTACACAAAGAATGAAAACTATGTAAAATCAAACAAAATCCCATAAAACTCATCCAAATATCAATATCAAAGTAAAATTTTCCTATTAATATGTATATAAATTTAGCTCATCACCGCGTGCAATGAAGAAGAAAAGAAAAATATCTAAGCTTGATCATTATCCTAATTGGTTTTCTTTTTAGCCCCTTGACTTTTGAAAATTGATTATTAAGTTTAAAAACATTATTTTCTCACAATTAGGTCCCTAGCTTACACTTAATTGTTCTTGAAAATTTTGGGGTATTACATCGACCCCTCCTAAAAGGGAGTTTAGTCCCCTAAACTCATCCCTCAATCTTGGAAGAGGTGCGGATGTTCCTGCCTCATCTTGGGTTCTAACTCCCAAGTAGCTTCGTCAACCGAATGGTTGTCCTAGAGGACCTTAACAAAACGAATGGTCATTCTCCACATTATCCTCTCCTTGAAATCCAAAATGCAGATCGAGTGCTCGTCATAAGTAAGATCTTCCCGAAGTTGAATTGGTTCAAGATTAATGATGTGACTCGGGTCGGAAACATACTTCCGAACTAAGGACCCATGAAACACATCATGAACACCTACTAGATTTCCAGGCAACTCCAATCTATAAGCTACTTAGCCAATCCTTTCCAAGATAGGATATGGTCCAATATACCTCAGACTCAATTTTCCTCGGATGCCAAACCTGAGGACACCTCGAGTGGGTGACACCTTCAAAAATACATGGTCACCAACTTCAAACTCGAGGTCTCATCTCCTTCTATCCGCATAGCTTTTCTGCCTGCTTTGTGCAGCACGAAGGCGTTCCTTGATCAACTGCACAATCTCAGAAGATTGTTGCACCAATTCTGGGCCTAAAATACTCCTTTCGCCCACCTCCATCCAACAAACAGGTGATCTACACCTTCGACCATACAACGCCTCAAACGGTGCCATGCGGATACTGGATTGATAACTGTTATTATATGCGAACTCAGCCATGGATAAGTGTTGATCCCACGAACCTTTCCAATCTAGAACACAAGCCCTCAACATGTCCTCAAGCATCTGGATAGTTCTCTCAGATTGCCCATCAGTTTGAGGATGAAAGGCCGTGCTGAAATTTAATTGAGTACCAAGTGCCTGTTGCAAGCTTGTCCAGAAATGAGATAAAAATCTGGTATCTTTATCTGACACAATAGACACAGGAACTCCATGCAGCTTGACTACTTCATTCATATACATATTGGCAAGCTTCTTAATGGAGGTGCCAGTTCGATAAGGTGAGAAGTGAGCTGATTTGGTCAATCGATCAATGATGACCCAAATGGAATCATTACCTTTCAAGGTTCATGGTAAGCTGGTCACAAAGTCCATGGTGATGTTCTCCCACTTCCACTGGGGAATAGGTAAAGGCTGTAGTTTCCCAAGAAGTCTCTGGTGTTCAGCCTTGACTTTCTGGCAAGTCAGGCATTGTGAGACAAATCTAGCTATCTCCCTCTTCATGTTCCGCCACCAAAATGTACTACGCAAATCACGATACATCTTGGTGCTACCTGGGTGAATTGTATAGCTAGTATAATGGGCATCTCCCATAATTTCACGCCTTAAAGCATGATCTCTTGGTACACACAGCCTATTACCAAACCATAGAGTCTCATCTTCAGAAATTCTAAATTCTTGCATGTGGGGTTCCCCGGCTCTTACTTTTTCTTCATCCTTTGCAAGAAAGGATCTTTCTGCTGGGCAAGTTTAATTCTATCTATTAATGCTGGTTGTGCACTGAGAGTGGCTAGATAAGCTATAGTGCTGTCCATTCTCAACTCCACATCCAGTTTCACAAGATCCTCAAGTAACTCCTTCTGAGTGGCAAGGATGTTAGAGGCAGTGCCTGAAGACTTCCTACTTAACGCATCTGCTACTTTGTTAGCTTTGCCTGGATGGTAGCTAATGGTCAAGTCGTAGTCCTTTAAAAGTTCAAGCCATCGCCTCTGCCTCATATTAAGCTCCTTTTGAGTGAAAATATACTTAAGGCTCTTGTGATTGGTGAAAATCTCACAAGTCTCACCGTACAGATAATGCCTCCAGATCTTGAGTGCAAATATTACAACTGCCAACTCCAAATCATGGGTAGGGTAATTTTCTTCATAAAGCTTTAACTGCCGAGAGGCATATGCAATAACCCTATCCTTCTGCATCAAGACACATCCCAAACCCTTTTTAGAGGCATCACTATATATGGTGAATCCTTCCCCATGGATTGGAAGTGCAAGTACAGGAGCAGTGACCAACTTCTCCTTCAGGGTAAAAAAGCTCTCCTCACACTCTGGAGTCCACTCAAACTTGGCATCCTTCTTGATCAGACGAGTCATTGGCTGAGCAATTCTGGAGAAATCCCTCACAAATCAGCGGTAATAACCAGCCAATCCCAGAAAACTCTGAATTTCTGCGACACTATTCGGCCTTTTCCAATTCACCATGCCCTCAATTTTCTAGGGGTCGACAGATTTCCAATCTTAGTCACAACGTGACCTAAGAATGCAACATTGTCTAGCCAAAATTCACACTTCTTAAATTTAGCAAACAGCCTTCACTTCTCAATGTCTCGAGGACTGCCCTTAAGTGCTTTTCATGAAGAGCATGGCCAGAAGAATAGACCAAAATGTCATCAATAAAGACAACCACAAACTGGTCTAGGTACTTGCTAAACACCCGATTCATCAAGTCCATAAATCTTGCAGGGGCATTTGTTAAGCCAAAAGGCATAACCAGGAATTCATAATGACCATAACGGGTGCGAAAGGCAGTCTTTGGCACATCATCAAGTTTAATCTTCAACTAGTGTTAGCCAGACCGAAGATCAATCTTAGAAAATACCTGGGCACCCTTGAGCGGTCAAACAGGTCATCAATTCTAAGAAGGGGATACCGGTTCTTCACAGTCACCTTATTTAGTTCCTGGTAATCAATGCATAGTCTCATGTTCCCATCTTTCTTCTTAACAAACAACATTGGAGCTCCCCAAGGTGACATACTAGGGCGTATAAACCCTTTCTCAAGGAGTTCCTCCAGCTAAATCTTTAACTCCTTCAATTCTGTAGGAGCCATACGATATGGTGCTTTAGAAATAGGTCCGGTGCTAGGAACAAGGTCAATAGCAAATTCAACCTCCCTATTCGGAGGTAAACTTGGGAGATCCTCCGGAAATACATCCGGAAACTCACGCACCACCGATATGTCTTCTAGTCTCGATGTCACACTGCTAGCATCAGTGACAGAAACTAGAAAACCCTGGCAACCATTTACAAGATATTTCTGAGCTTGCAAGGCAGATATTAGCATGGGTGGAGCAAAAGAACCACTGCCTTGGAAACTAAATTCTGGCTCACCAGGGATATTAAAAATTACCCATTTTCGATGACAGTCTATAGAGGAAAAATGTTTTGACAACCAATCCATCCTCAAAATGATATCAAAATCGGAGATATCTAAAACAAACAGGCTAGCACCCAATTGTTTACCATCAATATAAATATTCACAGTCCTACACACATCTCTAGTAGTCATCACCCCTCCTAAAGGGGTGTCCACATGCAATTCAAAATCAGAGGTATCAACAGGCAAAGCTCATTTCAAAACATAAGATTGAGCAATAAAGGAGTGTGATGCACCCGAATCAAATAAAACATGTGCAAAATCAGAGTTGACAGGCAAAGTACCCGTGATTACGTCAGTAGCCGCAGCTTCCTGATGGGTCATCACGTGAACTCTTGCCTGCTGGGCTTGGGCTCTTGCCTGCTGGGCTCTTATCCTAACCCCAACATTCTGTTTCGGTGCCCCTTGATTAGTAGACCCCTGCTGAGATGTAGATTGAGTACTTTGAGTTTTGGGGTCTAGCAGCGGACAACTTGCAATCTGATGTCCTTGCTTGCCACATTTGAAGCAAGCTCTAGAAAGAAGGTGGCACTGATCACGGGTGTGCCCAACCTTCCCACAAAAGTGGCAAGTAGGTGGAGTAGGGCGAGCACATTGGGCCGTGGATGCCTGGCCCCCAGTCTTGGTAGCTTCGAGCCCTTTAGAACCCTTGCTGATATCAGGCCTAGGCGGTGCAGGGACAAAGGGCCTACGGCTCCCATCGAATTTTCTCTTCCCCAAGGATGACCCAACGCTGTGCTGTCCTGAGGACTTGACCCTAGCCATAGCCTTCTCCTAGTCCAGGGCTCTGTCCACTGCCTCTCGATAAGTGGCGGGTTTAAATTAGTTTACCGCCAAATAAATATCGAAATTCAAGCCCCACAAAAATTTGTCGGCCTTGGCTTGCTCATCGGCAACTTGGCTACCCATAAAAGGCAGATAGCGGTCAAACTCTTCCTTGTACTGCTCAACAATACCTGACCCTTGCTTCAAATCTACAAATTCCCTTTGCAGTTCACGCCTTCTGCTATCCGGTATGTACTCTTGCATGAACACCTTCTTGAAACCATCCCAAGTGCTCAATTCAGGCTCTCCTTGGTGTAGCTTCAGATAACTCTCCCACCAAGTTAATGCCTTCCCAGTAAGCATGTAACTGCCTACATTGACCTTAAGGTCATCAAAAACATGCAGTAGGCGGAATCCCCGCTCCACCTCGATGATCCACAATCCCACCTGCTCAAAACCTGCAGTACCATCAAATCCCTTGGTCATCAGCTTCTGGAATTCTGTATAGACCTTCCAGCTAGGCACAGCAAGAGCAGAAGAGATAGGAATAAGGGAAATTGGAGCAGGGGCCATAGGAGTGGAGACCACCGGGGATGGAGGTGGTACACTTGTGGCAGGAGATACTTGGCGTCTTATCTCTGCCATAAGTTCCTGAACAAAGGCAGCCACTTGAGGATTGCTCGTCCCTCCCTCCTGCGAAGCAGCTTGGGAAAGGGGCCTGGCAGCTGGGATCGGAGGAGTGCCCTGATCCTTACGGCTACCCCTCAGGCGCCCACGCTGTTTTGGAGCCATCTATAACCACATAAAAGGTGTAAAGACTATTAATTGAATGCTTCACAAGAAATTTCCCGACAAGTTTCCACTTCCAGGACCAAGCAACACAAAACAAAATAAAATAAATCAAAATCTCACGCATTAAGGAAAATCAAACAAGTGCCCTTAATCAACCCCACTCTCATGCCTCACCACGTTCCTCTAACTAGTTTGCTAGCCAATTTCTACACTAGCCTTAGGCTCTTAATTTAAACCTAGGCTAAAATCTGTCACGCCCCAAACCCCGAAGCGAGACAGACGCCGTGCACTCGTGAGCGCGGCCCACAAATGCACAAGGCTCAAAACCTACTGAGTTCTTACTTAGCAATTCAAACAATTCGAATCTAAACCTTTTACTTACCAAATATTTACCAGTCAAGATGTACAAAATTTATAACTTCATATATACAATCGTGACTAAAACTAAGTTCTGTACACGAAACTTCTGAGTCAAGCATGGGTGACTAACGGCCTAGCTACAAAATCTAAGTCCAAAAGTTCCTAGCCATCTAGCTCGTCACTCCCCCGGCCTCCCCATGCGTTGGGTCTCACTACCTGAAATGGTGGACAAAGAAAAACTATGAGATAAAATATCTCAATAAGTAAATGTATGGATAACCTGTGGGTAAAATTTGAGCATTTCAGATAAACAGTTTAGACATATTCAATGATAACCATTATGCAGAATAAAGTTCAGTAGTAGTCAATTAAACTTATAGCATGCCAACAAGTGTAATCAGAAAACGGATACAAGTACG